ACTGTGAGCATCTGCACCGCGAGCAGAATGCACTGCTCTGGTGCTGAGTTGCATGCCCAGGAGTCCAGAGCATGGCTTTGCATGTGCAGAGCTGTGCCAACACCGCATGGGGAGGCTCCTGGTGCTGAGCTCCCCCCATCTCTGCCTGCTCCATGTGCCAGGAGGAAGACTTCCTGCGTCCCAGCAGCAGGGAAGAAGCACAGAAGCTGTGGGAGATGGAGAGGCTGAAGATGCGGCAGGTGCTGGACAAGCAGCAAAAGCAGATGGTGGAGGACTACCAATGGCTGAGGCAGGAGGAGAAATCCCTGGTGGGTAACATTGGGCTGCGGACAGACTTTGGGCTGGGTGCTCCCAGCTCTCCCATTGCCACCATGCACCAAGCTGCAGCTTGCTTCATGCAATATAACCACACCTGCAGCATGCTGCAGGTCTCACAGCAGGTGTGCAGCTCCAGCGGTTTGTGCACAGCCGGAGGTGTCAGGGCAGCCCCCATCACCAACCCACTCACATCTCTCTGTGTTCTGCACCTCGCCGAGCTGCGATGGGAAGCAAACACTTCAACACCTGCGCAATTTTTTAAACGCCATTGCGTCTTCACGAGCTTTTATAATGCTTTTTAAAGCCAGCATCAAGGTAGCTAATGTGTGACTAATGCACCAGCGGCAGCGAGATGGAAAATCTTTTATTAGCACGACTGACGCAGCCGTGGAGCAATGCCCAGCTCTGGTGCTGCAGCAGCATTTTGGGGAGCAGCAACTCGGGGTCCTGGTGCCCCATGGAAGGGATGAAGACAGGGACAGGGCCATGGGGGGCTGTGGGGCTGCAGAGATGGGCCGTGCTCCTGGGGTGTGCATTTGGGGACTTCTGGAGGCAGGAAAACCATAAAGGTCTCCAAAGATCAGAGATGGATTCTCCTGGATGATGTTGGGCAAAATGAAGGGGGGAATGCTTCTTCTTCTGTTAGGAATTGGGATGAAAGAATCAGAATTCGGGAAAGTTTTGCCATGAAGGGAGTAGAGGGAAGGGAACAGTTCTCCGGAGGTCCCCATTTTTCCTTTTCCTTCCCTTTTCCCTTATGTTTCCTTTTTCCCATCACCTCTCACAAACCTTCTCCCCTTTTTCAGGACCCGACAGTGTTCATGAACAACAACACTGCTCTGGTGAGTGCTGCCAGCCCCAGAACCCTATTGACTGCATTCATCTGCAGAGGGGCCCTTCCCCTGGGGGTGGGCAGAAGATACATACAGCTTGCAATGGTCCCTGCTGCCCTTTTCCAGCCCTGCTCTTGGAAGCATTTAGGGATTGCTGGGATCAAATTGCTTTCTGTTGTCATGCTGGGGAATCCCTGTCCCCCAATTGCAGAAAACTTGTCCAAAACTCTTAATGGGGTACAATGCTTGCAGTCCACACCTGCCCCCTGAAGCCCTCTGGAATGAGGATGCCTCCACCCTGAGGCAGTGCCTCCTCCGCTCTTGCTCCTCTGAACAGGATTTCCCACCTCTCACTTGCTGCTGTTTCTTCCCCTGCAGCTGCTCCCGGAGAAGGAGATGGATTACAGTGAGTGTCCCCTCTGCCTTTTGCACAAGCCCTGTTCCAGCAATCCCAGATCATCACCACGAGTGACTCTGCCTGCCCCAAAGGCTATGCCTGTTCCACAAGTGGGAGGCTGAGCTGCAGGCATCCCCTTTTCCTTGCCCTGATGGTGGAGGGAAGGTGGCATACAGCTGTGTCAAGTTGGGGTGTCCTGAGTGGTGTGGGGCATGAAGAACATGCACACACTTCCAGGGAGCATCCAGAGTAACTCTCCTTCCTTTCCCTTACTGATGGTGTAGCAGAGTTCACGGCCCCCCCCCCAGAAGCCTCCAAGACTTGGGGCACAGGTAAGACTTCCTCAGACAGCCATTGTGGTCCAAGTCTTCCTCCACAACCATTTACTTCTGTTCATCTACAAGATAGGACTTCTTGGACCAACTAAGCAGTGTCCAAGTTGCGGGTGGGAGGTGGATGGGTCTGGGGTGCAGAGATTGGCCAGGGCTCTCCACCGATGTTGGTCTATTCCTTCCCTGCTCCCTTGTTGTCCTGAGCCCACCACAGCCCTGTTCTCTGCCAGTCCATCCAGCCAGCTCCCACTGCCAATCTGGACCGCACGGATGACACGGTGTACAGCAACGTCATGGACCTGGTGAGAGCTGTCCTGCAGCTGAAGAATGAGATCAGCCTCCTGCCCCCAGAGGGATACATCCTCGTGGTGAAGGTAGGGGAAACAAAGGGAAAGCAGGCCTCCTGCAGGGATCATGAAGGGAGCTGGGAATCAGTCTGCTGAGCAGCTCCCACCGAGAATCCTTTTTGGAAAGACTTACGTGTATAGGAGGGAGCATTAGCAACACACCTTGGGTCCTTGGGTCAATGGTGGGAGCAATTCCAGGATGTCTTGTTCCTTCAGTGGCTCCTAGGGTCAATGACAGGAGAATTTCCAACGTGCCCTGCTCCTTCCCTGTGACCTTGTGTCAGTAGAGGAGCATTTCCAACATGTCTTGCTCCTCCAGTGTGTCCTTGCACCAATAGCAGGAGGAATTCCAATGAGCCCTGCTCCTCCACTGAGTCTTTGGTTCAGTGGTAGGAGCAATTCCAGCATGCTGTGCTCCTCCCTTGGGTTCTTGGGTCAAGAGTGGGAGTGTTTCCAACATGTCTGGCTCCTTCATTGGGTCCTTGGGTCAATGCAGAGTATTTCCAATATATCCTGATCCTGTTGCATCCTTGGGTCAGCGATGGGGGCACCTCCAATATATCCTGCTCCTTCTTTTGGTCAATGGGAGAGCATTTCCAATATACCCCACGCTTTTCTTCTGCTGAGTCCTTGGACCAATGGTGAGAGCATTTCCAACACATCTTTGTGTCCAGGTGTCAATTCCAGTACGCCCTGTTCCTCCATTGGATTCTTGAGTCCAAGGGGAGCATTTCCTCCCATTCTTCTCTCCCCACTGGCATCCTTAAATCAGCATCAGGGACTGTGCACCACTGTTTGGTGCCTGGATCCATTCTAACCCTACCATCACCCCACAGAACGTGGGCCTGTCCCTCCGCAAGCTGATCGGCAGCGTGGATGAGATCCTGCCCATCCTGCCCGCCACTTCCCGCACCGAGGTAGGGCTGCAGCATGCCCCATGGGGATGGGGATGGGGGAGGGGGCTTGGGGACACCCCCAGCTATAACCTCTGCACGTCATGGCCAGATTGAAGGGACCCAGAAGTTGCTCAACAAGGACTTGGCTGAGCTCATAAACAAGATGCGCCTGGCACAGCAGAACGCCGTCACCTCGCTGAGCGAGGAGTGCAAGAAGCAGATGCTGACGGCCTCCCATACCTTGGCTGTGGACGCCAAGAACCTGCTGGACGCTGTGGACCAAGCCAAGGTCCAGGCCAACCTGGTGAAGCTGTGCGTGGAGTGAGGGAATATGAAGGGGTGGGGAAGGAGAAGAGGAGGAGAGGCAGCGCCGCATTGGTCGGTAGCAATGGGAGGAGAGTGGTGCGGACGAGCTGGCTTCTGTGTGTCTCCTGTGGCCTCGCCGCCCTGTCCTCCATGTCCCCCTCCTCCTGCAGCTGCTTGTGTCTTTAGCATCATCTCATCAGTCTTCTGAAGAAAGGAGGTGCCTGGTGACGCATCCCTCCAAAGGACTGGGGGTGGCTTGGCTGTCCCCAAGGGTGGATGAAGGTCCCTTTGGGTTCGGTGGCACCAACAGGGCTGTGTGTCCATTCAGTGTGCCCAGTGGGCCTGTCCAGTGGGTCCATGTGTCTATCCAATGGGTCCCCATGTCCGTCCCATGGCCCCTCCCAGGGACAGCACATCCAACTGGGGCCCTGCGCCCTGCTGCTCAGTGCTGGGAGCTGGGGACACAGTGACCAGGGGAGCTGGCTTCCCGGGAGGGGCTCGCTGGAGGGACTGTTTGCATTTCCTTGTACATTATATAGAAGAGTTTATTTAATGATGGGCGTGCGTCGGGTCGGTTCTCGCGTCCAGCCCCAGCCAGGGGAGTGTGGGAGGGGTGGGTCCTTGTGCCCGCAGCCGTCAATGCCACAAATCAGTCGGGAGGATGGGGCCTCTTCCAGCTGAATTTGCTCCAAGCTACTCCATGTAAACGACAACAGCAACAAATTCTCTGTTTGGTTTGTGCTTGAATTGGAATTCGTACGGTTTGGGCTTTTCCCCAGCATCTTCCCACAACGCTGCTTGCGCTGGCTGAGATAAACCATGCACCAAGTCCTGCTGTGCCTTTGCTTGCTGACATCCCCCTCTCCTGGAAAAGAATGCAGGCTGGACTCCAGAACCCTGCAGCAAGGGTGTCTCTTATTCACCTCTGGTCATAAAACCGTTGAATCATTCAGGTTGGAGAAGACCTCCAAGATCCACGAGTCCAACCCCAACCCACCCCCCCATGCCCATCCCTCAGTGCCACATCCCCACGGTTCTGGAACATCTCCAGGTTTGGTGACCCCACCACCTCCCTGGGCAGCTGTGCCACTGCAGCACTGCTCTCTTTTGGAGAAGAAATGTTTCCTAATATCCAACCTGGATCTGCCAGCTCTGGAGCCCCACCAACTCCCAAATCCATGCAAGGTGCCACTCTCCCTGTTCCCATCCCAGGTCTTGCTAAGCGAAACTATTTTTGGATATTTGTACTTTGCCTTTCAAAGAGCATCAGGAAATCATGGCAAGTTCAGGGTGGAGGCAGCTGGGAGATGTTCTGGGGAATAGTACAGTCAAGAGGATGGGTGCCCCATTGGGAAGGGTGTTTGGGGTGCTTGCTGTGTCACACTGACGTTCACTCCAGAGCTTCTGCTCCATCCCCAGCCAGGCAGAGCTTTGCTGAAAGAGGGATTTTGGTTCTGGAGGCAACTAGCAAGGAGTTTAGAAGGGCTGATGTGGAGAGGAGATGAGCATACCGCGCTCTGCAGAGCCACAAAACTGAGATGTGTTGGGTCAGATGCACACAGACCCATGCATACATACAGCTTGCTGCCTTGCACATCCCATATCCTTTATCTCAGCCCTGTGTGCACACAGCAGAGAATGCATGAGCAGCTGCAACACCCTTGGGATGTGCATTTTTCTCAGTGGAATCATTTATTCCAGCCCATTTCACTCCTGATAGCACAAAGTGTTTTCTGAAACCCGTCAGGTCACATCCAGCTCCTGGGTTGGTCTCCTGGAGGAAAAACCCCGCAGGGAAAGCCTGGCTTCGGGGCACAGATAAGAGTAGATCTTTGCAAGCACGAGTCCTTGAGGATGCATGGAAGATAGAAATTAAAGCTGGGTTGCAGTAGTCATCAGAGCAAGGGGATTGGGGGTCTGCTTGTTATTGCAGGTATAGGATAGAGAGGACAATTTGCCCAGGATCCCTGTGCTGATGAACCCACCAGCATACACGTGGGTTGCTTGTGCTGATGGGCTTTGCACAGCAGAGAAGAGCAGAGCCCCTGAGCTGCGTAGTGTGAGTAGGAACTTCTGCCCCTTCCTGCTGTCACACCCCAAAGCACTGTGTCCTGCCCCACATTGTGTTGGCTGTGGTTCTGAGGCAGGATGCATCCAGAAGCAGCTGTGATATCCTCTCTTGGAGTCACAACCAGATGTGTCCCTTGGGTTCCAGATGGAACCTGCAGCAGCTGAAGGAAGTGGATGCCTCTTCTAGATCTCTCCATCCCACGTTTTGTTGGTGGAGAGGCTGTGCTGAGCTTTCCTTGAGGCCAGGATGGCCACCACCATGAGCAGGACAGCAGGAAGCAGGGCACTCCCAGCACACCTTTTGCTTCCCCCCACACTGCTGCATGTCTCACCCAAGTGACCTCCATGGTCGTGATGCTGTGAGAGGTACCCACATTACCCCCTGATCCCTAAATCATCCCTGCCAGGTAGGGTGGGAGGAAGAGCCCCACGGTTCCCAGCAAGCAGACGATGATGAACATCCAGAGGAAGATGCGGTCTATCACCATGGCCACGTACTTCCAGTCCTCCTTCACCTGCCAGGAGGAGAGGGGCTGTGAGCTGTGGGTAGAGGGTGAAGCCTCCAAGGGTTAGGAGATGTCTCAAGCATAAGGTGTGGGGATGGATCTCTACAGGGCTTCTGGGGGCACAGCAAACCCCACCCAGGTGTTCCCAAATTGTGGGTTGGGGTGCAGGCTCTGAGCTGGGTGATGGATACTGACATTATGTAGAGCAGTGTGGCTGGGAGAGGGGCATCCTGCACCCTGCAGCCTGAGGAACATTGAGCTGACCTGCCAGAGCCCGTATTTCATAGAATCATAGAATCATTAAGGTTGGAAAGAGCATTAAGACCATCAAGCCTGACCACGCCTGTAATTGCTGTGACTGCTCTAGACCATGTTGCTCAGTGCACCCCTTATTTCCCAGGGGGTGATCATAGATCTCCTGAACTAAGGCCCTCAGCATGCACGGATACAAACAGATATCCCCATCACTGACCCCCCACCCCCATGGAGGGAGCACTGGGTTGGGGAGTCCCCCTTGCCCCCAGCCCTCAATTGCCCCCCACTCACCGAGAAGTCAGCATCCTCTGCTCGCAGGTGGTCCGCGATGTACTGCACACCCTCCAGGGCCCTCAGGATGCTGGGTGACAGTGTCAACCCTTGATCAGAGCCCACCTCCTCCCCCTTGAGGGGCACCTGTGGGGCTGGGCCCCCTGATGCTTTGCCCGCTTGGCGTCCACAGCTGTAGCGGCACTGGGTGCCCTGGGATCCCCCTGAGGGCACACGGCTAGGATACGTCTTCTCCTCCTCTTCCTCTTCCTCCTCTTCCTCTTCTTCCTCCTCCTCCTCCTCCCACTTGTCATCCACATCGGTCTCCAGCCAGCAGCGGGAGGTGCTGAGCCTGGTCCCCGGAGGGTCATATTGACCCGTTGTCCCCTCAGCAGGGAGCAGCACAGGGGGTCGCTTCATGAAGAGCCAACGGGGGATGAAGCCCAGGAAGAAGCTACGCACCCAGTGGGGCATGGTGTGGGTGCTGGGGGAGCGGTGGTGCACATTGAGGACAAAAACAGTGATGATGATGGAGAGCGTGACAAAGATCATGGTGAAGAGGAGATACTCGCCAATGAGCGGGATGACCAGAGAGGTGGAGGGGATGATTTCGGTGATGAGCAGCAGGAAGACGGTGAGGGACAGAAGGACGGAGATGCAGAGTGTGATCTTCTCACCACAGTCGGAGGGCAGGTAGAAGACCAGCACGGTGAGGCAGGAGATGAGCAGGCAGGGGATGATGAGGTTGATGGTGTAGAAGAGCGGGAGGCGGCGGATGACGAAGTAGAAGGTGATGTCTGGGTAGATCTCAGTGCAGCAGTCGTACTTCTTGGAGTTGTACCTGCCAATGGCGTTTATGATGGCCCACTCGCCACTCTCCCAGTAGTCCTTGAGGTCCACGTGGTGCTCCATGTTCTCCAGGTCGATCTTGGCCTTGTCATATGTCCAGGAGCCAAACTTCATCTTGCAGTTCTGCTGGTCGAAGGGGAAGTAGGTGACATCAATGCTGCACGAGCTCTTGTAGATGGCGGGTGGCACCCACTTCACTTTCCCATTGGAGAAGAGGTGGGCCTTTGTCATGTGAGTCACAGCAAACTCCCCGTCGGCACTGTGGGGACAGAGAGGGTGAAGGGTTCCCCTCAGGAAACAGGGGCAGGAGCTCCATCCATTTGGAAGGGGATGGGTTGTGTTGGGATGGGCTGGGGTGGAGTGGGATGGGATAGAATGGGATACAATGGGATGGGATCCGATGGAATGGGATGGGAT